TAATAACACGTGCTTTGTTGAAATAAACGTTGATCAATGACTGTAAGCGTTTTGTTTCCGAACCATCGTGGAATGTAAGACCGGTGGTCTTATGATTTGCGACAACATTTATTGAGTTGTTTGTTGTATTATAGAAAACTATTTGTGTTTTTAGTTNCTCTATGCATTACATAGACTCTTCGTAGCAATGATTCTAGTAGATGGTCGATATTGTGTTGCAAGCAACCTGTAATTCGAGCTGTAGAGCTTACAGCGTGTGTGTAAGATGTCCTCCCCATAATGTGCCAAGCAAGCTAGGTCATAAGATCGGGATATCATAGCGGTGATAACCACAGATTGGCATAATAAGTATTTTATTGTTTACTATGTTTACAATATTTTCTCCTGTAATATAATTCATGTACACACCCTCTACCTTTCTTCTCTATTTCCGTACCCTCGGCTCCTCGCTCCAATCACCTGCATCATCCATCTTTTGCCCTCATACCTGTCTCCCAAAATCTGCCTCCAGTTCATCGCCTCCTCCGTCAACTCGCGACATCTTTTCAGCACTTGTTAAAGCGTCTACCAATCCTCTACGCACAGCCTACACCATCTCTCCACATCGTCCGCCCAGTACCTGTTCCCCCTCTCGTTATTGCCACAGCAAAATCTGGCTACCAATCTCTTCCCTTTCTCGTCTCCTTCCATCAACAGATACTTTGCCAGTTTCTCTATCACCATCTCCCCATACCGTACATTATAACTCCCTTTCCCTTCCAGTTTTCTCCACATTTCATCTCTCTCCATTCTTCTATTGCCGATCCCAGTTATTGAATATTCCACTCTCCTATATTCTTTCCTATCTCCCTGCCCATATTTATTTATTTATTCTATCCTCTCTTCGTATCTCTCTGCTGTTCTCCCAGCCTTCACCCTTATTAAATCCACCTTAACCTCTTCCCTCACTCCCACCCTGGAGTCCCTCTCGCCAACCCTAGTACCCACCTACAATACCAAGGTTCATCATCTGTTCATGTGGAAATAGGTTTTTTGTAAGAGACGAAATTGGCAATCGTGAACCTTGCGAGTTAAAATTCTATGATCAGAATTTTGTTTTTTTAAAAAGTTTATTTTATTAAAAACTAAGTTACAAAAGTTTAAGTTTGCTATTTATTTTATAATTGTAAATTAACTTGTTTATCTTAAATCTAAGCTTCGAATTTTACGAAGTGCGGCGACGTCGCGATGGTAGCTTAGTCTCGTCTTTCGTAATTACGCTCTGGATTATATACTTTTTGGAAATGCTTATTCAGCATTTACTCTTGGAGGGCATCTATAACTCCTCCCGCCAAAGAGGGAAACAGCCTGGAATTTTCTCAAAATGACCATGTTTGTTTCCCTAGGATCTGTTTGGGTCTTTCTTCTTTCGGTGGATTAATTTTTTTTTTTCTGTACATTTTCTTACTTATCAACCCTGCAATTAGAAGTATGATTAAGCAATATAGTATAATAGTCCATATTGTGATTGGCCTCTCGTGTAGGTATGGTTTTTCAATTCTTCTCACGTCTTCTGACAGTTTCTCCAATTCACCAATAACGTCTTGAACTTTACCATCTTGGACCTCTTTTAGTTTCTCTATTTCTCCATTCCACGGTAGTTTTTGTTCAGGTATGTCGGATATTTTCAGATGCGGAATCTTGATTATTCTTTCGGCAACTAGTCGGGATCGGTATGCTTTCAGGGTAGCAGCGCCAATTTGTAGAGAACATCCAGGTGTTATCTTGATGATGTAGGTACCATTCAATATTTCGAATTCTTCTATCTTCCTACAATTCTTTTTTACCTTTTGAGGTGTAGATGTTGTGATAAGCCATCGATCGTCTGTTATTCTTGTAATTCTCGGAGTTAATACTTCGTCCATTTTTGTTTCACAATTTTCATATTGTCCCATAATCAGAATCAATCGTACTTCGCATGGAGTTTATTCAAGACTGATTTGATGACTGGTTTCGTGACATATAAATTCTGACGGTAAAACTTCTCTGCATGCAGTGTGAGTAGCTATAAACTTTTCATTATTGATTGCTAAATAAGGAGTTTTGGGAGTTATCGAGGCGAAGGTAGACAAATTGTATCTTTTTGGAAGTGGAAATAGTTGATATAGGGAATAGGGTAACTTTTCAACGATAGGAATCATAAGAACATAAAATATTTTAGAATCTTTCATAAATGCTTCAAGTGTAATTATTTGTTCTATGTAGTACATGCCTTCTTCGTCGGGATTTATTGGTAATTTGTCACCTGTAAGTTGTTCTTCAATATGTACCAGTTCATGATGCAATGTATTTTTGTCGAGAATAGATGGATGAAATATTCCTGCTTTTGCGAATACTATGGAATTTGTTACGGTAGATAGGATGCTATTAAGTCTGTCGATCATGAATATTAATTGATTAATGATAGCATACATTGACATAAATTTTCGAGATTCCAAAGCGAAATAAGATGCGTTTTTCATCGCGGCTCCCATCTGTAGTATTCTAGATGTAAGGACCATTTGATTTGATTTAAGAATCTTTATCGAGTCGTCAAATTTTGTCAAGGCTTTGGTTGATAAAGTAATTTGTTTATCGAGGATGGTTTTAATTTTCTTTTGAGACGATTGGAGGCTTCCCGCAATGTTAATTGCTCCTCTTTTTGATTTTGGATGATTCTTCGGGAATATATCCTCGACCTATCTTGTCATTTGTTCTATTCCTGTTTTCATTATGGATATGAAATTGTACATTTCTCTTTCATAGGATGATTCCGTTTGGATGATCATTTTTAAACAATCTTGATAATGTCGTTTGGTTGTCTCCATTTCGTGCAATAATTGCGCTAGATCGTAGACGGTTGTTAGGCTCCAATAACTATGAGCATTTTGAGCCCTGCCCAATAATACTGGTAAGAGTCCTGTGTTGTCTTCTATGTTAGTTATTGTAACGTCGCACCAGTGGCCACGGAACATGAATCCGAGGTATCTGTAATAATGGAATGTTTTAGAGTTCTTGTATGATATCGTTTTTCTCCTGATTTAGTTTTTACTATGACAGTCTCGTCGTCATTTACTTTCGTAATTCTATAAGGACCTAAATAGGGGTTTTGAAATTTATTTCTTCCTGTGTTTCTTATGTACACCAATTCATTTACTTTGAATGGTTTTCCTTTGATCTTTTCTTTTCGTTTATTCACGTATTTTTCTTTGTATGCTTTATTTTTTTCTTCTATTGTTTTATATAGATGTTTAAGTCGTTCTTTGTGATTTTGAATGTAATCCGCAAAGTAATCTTTTGAATACAGTATATGCATGGGATTTCTTAGCGATGTGTGACCAAAAACAACTTCTAGTGGAGTGGCTCCAATAGGTTTTGAGATGCTGTTGTTATATTTTAAGGATCTATCCTTGGTCCTATCTTATTTACAATTTATACCAGCAATTTATTCTCAAAGTTAAAGTATTGTTCTTATCATCTTTATGCTGATGATTCCCAACTGTATCTAGATTTCCTGCCTGGTGAGCGATCGGAAGCTTGTGATAAAGTAACGGAGGATTTAAATCACTTATGTATGGAAATTAAGAGACATGCTCTTTTGATCAACCCTGACAAGACTCAATGTATTTTAATTACTAAAAAGGGTAGTTTATTTGTTAATAAGGATGATATTAATATTAGGATGCTTGGAGTGCAGTTAGGACTGACCAATTCGGTTAAGAGTTTAGGTCTTATTATTGATGATCAACTTGCGTTTGGTGAGCATATTAATTTATTATGTAGGCGTGCTTATGGTTCCCTAAGAAGNAATTTGAAGCTAAAAATCAATTCAAACGTGAATAGTGCAGTAAATGAAATAATTTCTTATGTGGATGCAGACTGGGCATCAGATACATTTGACAGAAAATCTAATACCGGATATTGTATATATTTTAATAAGAGCTTGGTAACTTGGAGTAGTGCTAAGCAAAAATGCGTAAGTTTATCTTCTACAGAAGCTTCTACAGAGTATATAGCTTTAGGAGAATTGACAACTGAATTACAGTGGTACACGAGATTATTAAAAGAATTGGAAATTAATATCACAATTCCCGTAATTTACAAAGATAATCAAATCACTATTAAATTAACAAAAAGTGAACAGTTAAAACGAAGAACAAAATATATATCTGAATCGTTCTTTTTTTTTAATAAGGTATTTAAAGCTAATTTGCTGCATAATTAATAAGTTCGCCATACAGAGGCTTCCGGCTCAATATTTACATCAGAATTTATCTTGAATAACGCATGGCATCAAGAATAGATAGCAAAGCAGAACAATAAGATCCCATGTATTACCCAAAAGCCTCATGGTTTTGATTTCCTACTTTCTGCATAACCGGAGTAAGACATTGACACTCTTTTGCGAATACGGTGAAAATCAAATCGTGAAACATATAGAACATAGCCCTAGGACAGCCTATAATAGACTACCTGACGAGTTCTTTTTAATGGTATGATGGTACGATGGTACTCATACTTAATGGAATTCAACTTACTAAACAAGAAGAAGAAGAGAAGATGTAAGAAGAAGAAGAGAATACGTAAGAAAAATAATCTAGAAAAAGTATTCATAGATTTATACGACTATAAACATTCAAACATAATTTTATAATAAAAACATTGACCGTGTTAATAAAACGCTGATGATTAAACTATTTAACCAACAATTAGATAACATTTAAGATATTTATAAAAATAGTAAGCCTCAGTAAATATTAAGTTGAAATATTAAGGTCGTGTTGTTTGATTAGTTTTATTTATTATACTATTCTTCTACACTTTTTACTCTGTTAATAACACCAGGAAATCTTTTCAATTTAATAGCTAAATTTAACTACTCAAACATCGCCTTAAATCGCTTTATAAAACAGTTCTAAACCTACTTGAGGATTTAGTATAACAGCATTTAGTTTCGTGTCATAATCTAAACTCTTAATGCAATGGAAAACATTATTTCTCTCCAAGATTGTGAAAATATCATTAAAAAATATAGCGGCGATCAAATCGTTGAAAATTTCCAATTGATTCCTTTGGATACGAAACTTGGATTATTGGGGGAATATTTTAAATTAAAAATAAAATTTTATGATAAACAACGTGAACAAAAGGAGAAACAATTTTTTGTTAAAACTCTCGCTTTGACTGAATGCCAAAGAAAATTTACACTCGATAATGGGGTAGCTATAAAAGAAGAATGGTTTTATTCGAAATTTGTAGAGAAATGTCTCATAAATGGGATTGAAATAATACAAGACTGCGTCCCAAAGTGTTACTTAATCCAAAGATTAAATAAATTTGTTTTATCCCTGGAAAATTATCAAGTATTGGATGCCCAAAAATGTTTGAGTCCCCAAGAAGTTCAAATTGCTTTGGAAAAACTTGCAAAATTTCACGCTTCCACTTATATTTTAGAAGAATCGTTATCGAAAAGAAAAGCTTATCGGATTTCAAACGAATTTTCGGAATTCCTAAAAGAATCTTTGTATTGCACAGAAACGGAAATCGCGAAGCAATATATTGAATCAATGAAAACAGGCGTTCGAACTCACATTGATTTATGTAAAAATGTAATAAACGAATTCGACGATGAGGATATTAAGAAAAAAATTATTAAAATCATCGATGATTATCCAATTTATGTAAAACCATCGCTTAAATATCGAAACGTGATTTGTCACGGCGATTTGTGGTCCGCCAACACCATGTATAAATATAAAAACAAAATTCCTGTTGATTTAAAAATGGTTGATTTTCAAATGTATCGATATAACCCTCCCAGTTCCGATGTGATAACTTTTTTGTACTTTTGTACTAATCGCAAATTCAGGGAAGAACATTTAAAGTATTGTTTTAATTTTTATTGGGATCAATTACGAAGCGTGTTGAAAAAATACGATTTAGATGTGGAGACGATTTTTTCAAGGGAACATTTTTTTGAAAGTGTTGAATATTATAAAAAATTCGCTATTTGCCAAGCAAGTACTCATGGTCATATATCCATGATTGATTCTAAATTGCTATCTGATATTTTATTTAATCCGGAATCCGTTACTGAATTCATGACTAAATCTCGGAGTGATATTATGGAAAAAATGTTTGAAAAAGATGCGGTTTATAGAGACAAACTTTACGAGTTTTATTTAGATTTAGTTGATATTGTTTAATTATGTTATTATTTTGAATAATTTAGTTATGACTTAAACTTAAATGTTAGGGTAATTTATCTTTACGTATCTCAAAAACTAATTGAAATATCGTTATTAAATAAAAAACAGTTTAAAGCAAATTTGATGAAGATTTAATGCACCATAAATTATTTCTTATTTTTCACAAAGATCGCTGTTATGATTTTTTAAATCCAATTCTGATTGTAATAAATATAAATATAAATTTTAAAAAATCGTGCCTCAAGAACGATGGAAGTATCACCATGAAACAACGATCATTTGAAAGAAAATTTGATGAAGATTCAATATGCCCTAAATAATAATAATATTATTATTATGCCCTAAATAATATAAGTGACATAAAAGTGACATATAAGTGTGAAATTGTGAAAAAAGCTCGAATAAAAGGGGAAGAATATGTTAATCATAGAGGAACGAAAGTGGAAAATATACAACCAGGACGAGAGTGCAGGTAATGTGCTTACATATTACAAGTTTAGCATTGCTATTGTCCAATTTTTTCTTAGGTGTAAAAAGAAATGTTTAAATAAAGTACCAGATGAGATAAAATTGGAGGTTTTCTCGAAGTTCAGAGATTTTAATACAAAGGATATGAGCAGGATATTTATTTGCAAAATTTAATAATACGAGTACCAACCCAACGTAGACGGCCTGTACAGAAAGACAACATTAAAAGGAAAACCCATGATTCTGCATTCAAATATTCGTTGATAACTTCTTCGAGCAAAATCGATTTATGTAAAGACGGGTTTCTTAAAATACATGGCATTACTGACAATATAGTACGACGCATTACAGGTTTGTTAGTTACGGGTAAATCACCCAAAGATCTCAGAGGAAAACACACGCCAGGCATTGCCAAGCCTGCACACGTAATCGTAAAAATTAAAGAACACATCGAGTCATTTCCAGTAAAAAGAGCTCATTACACAACCCGTGAATATGCATATCTAAGTGAAAGACTCAATGTGACAATAATGCATAAATTGTTTTGCTCTAAATACCCTAATTTGTCCATATCATATAAATTTTATTTGAACATTTTTAAAGAATACGACCTTTCATTTGGAACACCGCAAGTCGATACGTGCACTACTTGCGAAGGACTTAATATAAAACTGAAATCAAATTTTTTGAACAAAGCGTGTAGCAGCAGCCGAAAAGATGGTCCATCTGCGTAGAGCAAAAAAGTTTTATAACCACATGAAGAGTGTTACTGAACTCTGCCAAAAGGACCTAACCGTTGATGGAATATGTATAGATTACATGCAAAACTTAATGTTGCCTGTAGTTCCCATCCAAGATACATTCTATCTTCACCAGCTCACAGTTAATATTTTTAATATTCATCATTTGAAAACTGGGAAATCTTTGCTTTATATGTACCATGAAGGATTAGGAAAAAAGGGCCCTAATGAAGTATGTTCATTCATTGTTAACGCCGTAATGAAAGAAAAGCTTGTATCTGTAGATGTGAAACACTTTCACATTTTTTCAGATGGATGCCCCGGGCAAAATAAAAATCACACCACTATTCGAATGTGCTCTACTTTTGTCGCAATGGGACGTTTTGACACAGTGGAGCAATACTTTCCCATTCGCGGACATTCATACATGCCTTGCGACCGTGACTTTGCAGTCATTAACAGAAAACTGAAAAAAATTGACAGGATTTACACACCAAAACAATACTTGGAACTTATATTGGAATCCAGCAGGAAAAACAACTTGTCAGTTTACTTCATCGAATCTGATAATAGTGTTATTAAAGACTTCAAAGGATGGTGTCCAAAATATTACAAAAGAACGGGCGGAATCCTTGGAGACTGCTTGAATGCTGCCTTGGAGCTGCATTCCACGAGATCAGAAGCAACCACTTGCCGTGTCGAGTTTTAATCATTTTTCATACTCCAGTGCAACAAAAGGTTATGTAGTTGCACGTGATTTTATTCTTGGCTTGAACCAACATACCTTTAAACTGTCTATAAACAAGCAGGTTCCAGTTTTCCCAAGCCAAAAGGCTTATCCAGATGTAAAAATCCCTATCAAAGACAAAAAGATGAAGTCCTTAAAAAAGTTTCAAGGTGTTGTTGAAGACGATGAATTTTCCAGTGGCCCATAACCGTAGCAACTGACAATGATGATGACTAATGGCTGACAATGTCTTAACATAATATACTTTCCTAATTTTGAGTTCGTTGAATATTGTATTAAGATAAAAGTATTTTATAATAAAGCAATTTCCAATTTTTTTTCTCAGTGATTTTCAAAACAACATATATTCGACCTCTTTTTTTTTGGCCCAGTAAGAGTACAATAGGCCCTATATGTCATTTAGAAACCCCAAATGTAGCGTATTGATGTACACTTTTCACTAAGAAAAACTAGATAGAAATAACGCAATGTCTGGAATTTTAAACACTTTTCTTTTATTTACTCAAAATCTTGAGAAATGGATTTATGTGGTTTTTAAAATAATCGATTCACTTAATTATTGGAGAACCTCAAGGTGCAGTTCAGATGAGTGCCAATGACACCCCCTGTTCTTACACTGAACCTTCCAAATTAACCCATTTAGTCCCACGATGCTTTATATTAAAAAAATCGATGTTTTATAATTTTAATGAGATATACTTTAATAAATATACAGGGTGTCTCCGAAATGCGTGTACAACGGAAGACCACAGATTCCTTGGCTCAAAATAGGTCGATTTACGTTAAGTTATCTATGTCCAAAGTTGCTTCGTTCGCCGCTAGAGGACTTCAAAGTTGGGAAAAAAAATTCATTTATTTTTTATAACTCGAAAACGCGTAAATCAATTGAAACCATTTTTCAGAAGTGAGTTCCTAGGTTCAATTAACTTCTTTTTATGGTTTTTGATACAATTTTAGAAACACAGGAATGTTGGAAAAGTCATGTGTTCCCGAATATTACTCCATATTTTTTTTTCTGGCCAGGCGACAGTTACATTATAATAATTTCTGAATAGCCCATTTAGTTTTGAACTGTTTTTGTCTCTTATAAGATTTTGATTACATAAGTGGTTAAGCCAGAAAAAAGGTATTTGTAAATATCTGCAAGACTTGTTTACTCCATTGTAGTTACAGTTACCTCACCGTAGTTGGCACTGATTTCAACTAATCTCAATTTATGTTTAACCTGAATACAATATCATTAATTGATCAAAAGCGTGGGCATTCAATGATCCTCAAAGCATACATTGTTAGGAAAAAACGTAGCCTATAACGGTTTTCTTCTAATTGTTTATACACCTAACGCCATCTAGTATCACGGTACAAGCCGTATTTAGTTGATTCAGTACGACAAGGACAAACTTTTAATCAATTCTAAGAAACAAAAGGATATGCATGTGTTATTGCAATGATGAAACATAACTCTAGTATGCTTTACATTTAACTGTCAGTTAACATCAATAAAGGGTTCTTGAAAGAGTGGCAGAAGATGTAAAGATGTTCTCTTAAGATGTTGTCCATAGGGTAATAAAAGAACAATTATTACACCCATACCACCTTCAAAAAGTGCAAGAGCTTTTACCTGTGGATCATGACATGCGTTTGACTTTCTGCCAACTCATACAAATCGAAAGAATCCACGACCCACATTTTAGTAGAAGGATTTTATTGATAGATGATCACAGCAGCCCATCATCAGCATCAATTCAAAGTCAATGTTTGGGCTGGAATTATTGGCGATAACATCGTTGACCGGTAATAATACCAAATCGGTTAAATGGCGAGGTTTATTTAAATTTATTAAGACAGTCGTTACCGCATTTCTTAGAAAATTTACCTTTATTACTTCGTCGCGAACCAATAATATCCTGGTCGAAGGATTGGAAGGAGAGCTGATGCCCGAATAAAATGCCCAGCAAGATCACCAGACCTTACACCGTGTGGTTATTTTCTCTGGGGGGCATTGAAGTCAAAAGTCTATACCTCTACAATTGATAGTGAAGAGGAATTATGAAGAAAATTTGTGTTAGCATTTAATACATTAAATAATCGCGAAACAATGGACAGAGTGCAATTTAACTTTTTACGACGAGTAAATTTATGTATTTTGAAAAACGGTGATCATTTTGAAAAATTTTTGTAAATATCTCCTACTTGTTTGTATTTGTTGAGTTTATTGTTACCTTTTGTTTCTTAGAATTCATTAAAAGTTTTTCTTTCTAGTACTGAAACAGATAAATACGGCTACGTTTTTTCCTAACAGTGTATGCTTTTAGGATCATTGAATTCTCATGCTTTTGATTAATTAATAATATTGTATTCACGTTAAAGATAAATTGCAATTAGTTGAAATCAGTGCCAACTACGGTGAGGTAACTTTTGTAACTACAATGGAGTAAACAAGTCTTGCAGATACTTACAAATATCTTTTTTCAGGCTTAACCACTTATGTAATCAAAATCTTATAAGAGTTAAAAACGGTTCAAAACTCAATGGGCTATTCAGAAATTATTATAATGTAATTGTCGCCTGGCCAGAAAAAAAAAAAGTAATATCCGGGAACACATGACTTTTCCATCATTCCGGTGTTTCTAAAATTGTATCAAAAACCATAAAAAGACGTTAATTGAACCTAGGAACTCACTTCTGAGAAATGGTTTCAATTGATTTACGCGTTTTCGAGTTATAAAAAATAAAAGAATTTTTTTTGCTAATTTTGAAGTCCTCTAGCGGCGAAACGAAGCAACTTTGGATATAGCGACCTATTTTGAGTCAAGGAATTTGTGGTCTTCCATTGTACACGCATTTGTATATTTATATATCATTTATATATCTGTATATTTATTAAAGTATATCTCATTAAAATTATAAAACATCGATTTTGGAGACACCCTGTATATAAATTAGTATTTGACCAAATTATTTACATGATGATTTATGTGCAAGTTCAGTAGTCATTTGTATCACCATATCAACATGGGTTTATCAAGCGTCGTTTAACGATTACCAATCTTGCGTTGGTTACTGAAGTGATTTGTGAATCTTTATGTAAGGGTGGTCATGTGGATGTGGTATACACTGTGGTATACCGGTCTTATAAAAATGGTCGTTTAAGTGCTCACTTAACTTTAGATTAATTTTTGTTTCGAAAAGCTGTGTATTCGTTTCATCGCCTCACTCATTTGCCTTCAGCCTTTTTTGCCTTTAACACGCCTTCAGCTTTTTCTTGTTGAGTGGGACGATGGAATGATGATTCAGTTTTTAAATCGTTCGAGTCTCCAATCATTTTTGTTAATTTTTGTCACTTTTCGTTTCTCAATCTTTTTTCACATGATGCACAACTGTTACGATCCTTTGTACATTTCTCATTAATTTGACGTTGTACCTGAAGACGCTCTAATAAAGCGAAACAATTGTTGTACATAATCTCTAATAAATTTACATCATTGTGGAATTTTTGTTATCTACATAAGATATCATTCCTTATAGTGGTATACACTGTCTTTTCTAAGGAATGCAATATGATTCATCATGACGTTCTCTTATATAAACTTAGTGCTTTTGTTTTTTCCGAAGCGGATGAAATATGTCGGCAAGGTCTGGTGTTCCTCAAGTCTCAAATCTAGGCACCTACTTATCTTCTTTAACGACCTTCTAGACAAATTCTCATCTAGCGTACTAGCATATGCGGATGATCTGGAACTGTTTCGACCTACTTTTTCAGACCGCGCTGTCGTCGGTCTTCAGTCGGACTTGAACTTCTTGGTAGAATTATTTAATCGTTATCAGCAAAGATTAATACTAAGAAGTGCGGTGCCGTTAGTTAAACACGCAAGGGGCCTCCTCTTCCTTACGCTTATTATATAAAAAGTGTTCTTCTAAAGTCTAGAGAAACTATCTACAATCAAGGATCTGAGAGTTATTTTTGACCGCAAATTGTCTTTTGTACCGCACATTGAAGATTACATCTTCCGCAGCTTTCTGACCTTTGTATTGCCCAAAATGCAATATGGCTCTGTATTTTGGTCACCGTATCCTGTTAATAGCCTCGGCGTCTTCATCTCCGCTGTTCTTAACATTCCTTCTGCGGTAGCATCTTCTGCTCTTGACATGTACTTGTTTTGCCATATTATGTCCCTCAGATAAGGATTTGCAATGGCGTGGCTGCGTTACTACTATTAAATAAGGATTCATTTTATGTTTCTATAAATGCCTCAACTGAACCGGAAAATATAAGTACTTTTTGGCTGTTTCAATTGTGTTCATTTTTTTCCAGTCAATTTGAGGATACGTTACATTAAAGATCTATTAGTCTAATTTATGATAGTAGTACAAGTTTAAATATTATATACAGGATGGTCCATTTAACGTGAGACAAGCGATTATCTCGAAAACAGTTCATTTTACATAAAAATGAACCAAATGAAAGTTTTTCCGTGTGAAGGGGGAAACCATATGACGATAACATTTTTTGACCTTGACCTAATTTTCAAGGTTACATGACGGTCACGACCAACTTTTTATATGGCACCCTATATATTATTTCGCCTCCCATACCTGAAAGTAAATCATATCAGCCCCAAAAAAAATAACTGAAAGCTAGATTTTCGGCCCTTGGGATTCTAAACTCTGAACGTCCCTACTTTATAGTTTTTCATCACAATCTAGTTAGTCTTCATTGACATTTGCAAACATTTTTGACGTTTCTCATAATTTTTCATTAAACGTCAGTTGAAATCAAAACTGCGACAAAATGAACGAAGAATTGGACGCAGAATTATTCACAAATACTCCACCGGAGTTGCACGAACAAGCTAAGAATATTTCCAATGATTTGTTACCTAGAAAATCAACAACAATGAATTCAGTTTTTGAAAGACGCAGATGATTCACATTATCTTATGATGAAGGTGGGTACATAGATTAAAATAAATTAATTTTGATTTTTATTGATTTCATTGTAAGTTTCTCTCATAATGGGAATATACGGAGCTTGTCGTCGAAACGAGTTGTTAAATATGAACTTTGATCAAATATATAACGGAGGAGATCTATTAATAATTACCGTTCCAGAGACAAAAAATAATATGACAAGAGTAGTATAATAATGACAGTTCTGGAGCGGAAGTTGCTCCCTGTGCTCCCTGCTCCCTGCGCATGCGCAGGAAGTGACGTCACAGCGCGGGAAATTTGGTGGGAAATTTGAAATTCAAAATTCATGTGGCGCCATCTGGTGGTGTGTAGTTAAACTAAAAAAGGTTGGTTTACCTGATGAGAGATAGGTGGCGCAGCTTAAAATTTACCTGATGATTGATAGATGGCGCAGCTTAAAATTTACCTGATGAACGANTTTAGTTGGTATTCCCCCCTATACCTAATACATTGAGGCGTGACGTCACCGCAGGAGCAGCAGGAGCAACTTCCGGTCTAGAACCGGCATTCTTACACTACTACCCTTAGCGAGCCTGATAAGTAAAAACGTTGAGAAGCAAGTCCCCCCCCGCTTCTAACTTCACCACAACGGAAGGTGACGACCATGCGCAGTTCGTAAGACGTTTTTCCATGAACAATAAATAGGGTAAAAGGGGTAAATCCAACTCAACTTCGAATAAATTTTTTCTTTGGTTTAAACTCACAAAGACTGAAAAAAGAGACGACTATGAGACATTGCGCGCGGTTTACGTTTGACGGGTAAATCCAACTTAACTTCGAATAAATTTTTTCTTTGGTTTAAACTCACAGAGATCGAAAAAAAAAAGAAAAACACAGAGACGACTGCGAGACATTGCGCGCGGTTTACGTTTGACACGTTCGGTTTCTAAAGTAAAACTGATTCCTCGCCGGCGGAAGTGTCAAGTGACATAGCGGCTGCAATAATGCTGACCAATCGAATAATTGAAGTAGTATAATAATGAGAGTTCTGGAGCGGAAGTTGCTCCCAGTGCAGGAAGTGACGTCACAGCGCGGGAAATTTGGTGGGAAATTTGAAATTCAAAATTCATGTGGCGCCATCTGGTGGTGTGTAGTTAAACTTAAAAAAAGGGTTGGTTTACCTGATGAGAGATAGATGGCGCAGCTTAAAATTTACCTGATAATTGATAGATGGCGCAGCTTAAAATTTACCTGATGAACGATAGATGGTGCTGTCATCTTTTTAAGTTGGACCGGAAATTACTAACCATCGGGTAATTTAAATTTACCTGATGGGTGATAGGTGGCGCTGTTATATTTTTAAAATTTAAATTCACCTGATGGGCGATAGATGGCTCTGTTATATTTTTAAAATTTAAATTTACCTGATGGGAGGGATAGATGGCGTGCGAAAATTTAAAATCATGGAAAAAAAATTTGGTTGGTAGAAAAATATAAACAAAAATTATATGTTAATACATTTATCATTTAATTTTTAAAACTAATTTTATGATACAATTATGGTTTATGAAATTTATATACATACAGATGAACATCAGGGTCATCGGTAGGAAATTTTTTACGTTTCAGGTTTCTTGATGAAATCCAATAAATATACAGGGTGAGTTTTACCGATGTCTTTTGCACCCTTATAAATTATGCACATTTTCCTGAGTTCGATGATTTCCTCGTCAGCAATATCTTCAGCGATGCGTCTTGGTAAAGAAATCATGAATCCAGCCTCCAACTCAAGTACCACGGACGGTCAAGAACACGTTTTAAGACGTTTCGCGCACTTAATTGGATATGGAGTGTCCGGTTGAAGCTCAGAAATTGACTCTTTCGGTAGGAAATTACACTGACCCAATTGACTTAGACGAGACATGGTTCGTTCCTTGAACAACTGTTTCGTAGATTAATAATAATAAAACGTAACTTGTTAGCTTACAAATAGCTGCCAAACTGAATAAATTATTAAGAACATGTAATTATATGCTTGAAAAAAGATTAACGACGAGACATGGTGGCTCGTAAGACGTTTTTTTCCATGAACAATAGATAGGGTAAATTCATCCAACTCAACTTCGAATAAATTTTTTCTTTAGTTTAAACTCACAAAGATCGTAAAAAAAACACAGAGACATTGCGCGCGGTTTACGTTTGACGCGTTCGGTTTCTAAAGTTAAACTGATTATGAATTACGCGATACAATGCTTTCCTCGTCGGGCGGAAGTGGTGTAAAATTACAACGCGGCGCATCGCCAAGGTGCAATACACCTCGCCGACGGAAGTGTCAAATTACCTAGCGGCTGCAATAATGCCGAGCAATGGAATAATTGACCTAAATGAAATGCTATTGTATAATTAATATTAAGGAAGTAAAAAAATAATACAAATTATAAAATTGTTTTAATGCATTTTCAGTAACAAAAATGATGTACGTGGAAAAAAATACATTTAAATAAAAGGCGGAAAAGGTTTAAATAATACAATTTAATTTTCTCAATTAACCCAATTTAAATATATTTACACATTTTAAAATAAAAATTACAAATAGATAAAACTCATTTACTCATTTAATTGAATTTACACGGATTGAATTGATGGCTGTAAGGTGAAATAGAAACAACAAAATGATTTGTTTAAGACATACATTTATTATTATTTATTTTTTTAAGTCACTACATATCCTGGACCGCCCATCCCCATTACCTTGTTTGTACATCCTCAAACACAAAAAAGAAAAAATTAATAATAATATTGTAAAGCAAAAGAAAAAAACAAGGACTTAAGGACTTACAATCAACCTCCTCCATCCGATTAATTATTACCCCTCGTGAAGTTGGAGACGGGGATCTGGGGCTATCATATAACCCCACTATGAAAAAAAATTGAGAAAATAAAATAATACTATAAAGCAAAATAAAAAAAAAACGACTTACGATCCCGCATTTCCATCTCGTCTATGATCCTCCTAATGTTGGAGGAGGATGAGGAGGAGGAGGAGGAGGATGAAGATTCATAATCATCTTCCTCACATTCCGCTAAGAAAAAAGAAAAAAAATAATAATAATATTGTAAAGCAAAAGAAAAAAAAAACAAGGACTTACAATCAACCTCCTCCATCCGATTAATTATTACCCCTCGTGAAGTTGGAGACGGGGATCTAGGGCTATCATATAACACCACTATGAAAAAAGATTGAGAAAATAAAATAATACTATAAAGCAAAATAAAAAAAAATAACGACTTACGATCCCGCATTTCCATCTCGTCGANAGACTTCGATTAATTCGACGGCATAAATCCATTTCCGTTATCACTTACCTAGGACTCGAAGGAAGTTGCTGACATCTCCAATTTACCTCGAATAAGTTGATATAACCAGAAGACTAAGGTCAGATTTTTTTTTTGTTGGCTGAACTTCTTTGAGAGTTAAGTTTTTTGTTAAAATCTTTTGTTGAAAAAACAAAAAAAAAAAAAAAGAAAAAGGGAGATTAATAGATATATTGAATTTTTTTTCCTATTATTAGAGAATTTATTTTTATATTGTTTTTCCTAATTTTTTTGATTTTTTTTAAATTTCCTTTGATTTTGTAAGAGAATTATTAATTGGGGTTTTATTTTTTTTTACTGCATTTATTTTGTGTTTTATGAAAAGCACACTCCGACACAAGATCTTGGGGTTGTGGGGTGTTTATGAGTATTTTGAACTCAGTTCAGGTATTATTTTTTTT